CCCACACACACACACACACCACCCCCAACCGCCCTCCTCTATCACATTATCTTCCTCTCCGTCTTCTGGTCTTCTGATGCATGAGGCTTTTAGGCAATTTTAGGAAAATTACATTCTTTTCTCTAATCACTACCCATCCATCAGTGAACAACACTCACATGGTGACTATATTTAAGAGGGGGAACTGTTGTGCCTGTGAACACTACCATAATTATAATTACCGGGTGCATTTTATACAAAGAGTCACCAAATCTTTTATTCCACAGATGCTCAATGAATTTGTGTCACAAAGAACAAGAACCGTTTACAGCTCTTGCACTTCTGCAGCAAAAGAGTTCTGGGAAAGCAGAAAAATAAAAAGCCAGTGGCTTGGTAAAATGCACATTAATCACAGCATGATTTTAATGTGCACTCTGTATTGTACTATAAGATTACTCTGCTATCCACAAATACTGTATCTATCATTCTTATAGTTACCCGGGCAAAGTATTCGCTGAGCTGCACATTTTTTAATTTTTTTATTTCCACGGTCGCAATTTTAAATCAATGGCTACCTGCAAACATCATGTTTTCCTTCAAGGAAAAATCTTGTTTTCTGTTCACTTGCCTTTTATATTTTGTTGCTAAAGAAAATAAAGCAGATTTTCAATTCAGATTGTCATATCAAAGGCATAATTTATTTTCAAACAAATATCTACGACACACAAATGAAGTTATTTGGGACCTTGATGTTCTCCATCAGCCGAGTAATTACGGTAATGAACAAAAACTAGTTCACCTTTTGTGAAGACAAATAAAAGCTGAGCAGGTCCATGTGCCTCTCAGGTTGATAGATGGGTTTGTGAGAGACAAAAAGAGATAGAAGATTAGTCTCATCTTTAACACTGTCTGCTCTCCAATTTATGTGTAAATGTTATTAACTTATATTATATACAGCACTGTAATATTCCCTTTGCTTAGAGGAATTAATTGTACAATGTACAATTACTTTCTCTGCAGCTTTGCACCTTTATTTATGTCTTTATTATTTAGTAAAACCTGTTTGGTTTTACACCGCTTTTATACAGCAAATAAAGAAAATCTGTTTCTCTCAGAGTGTGTATTTGATCATTTATTAGCTTTACCTCCTTTCATTTTCATGCATACAATTTCCTATTTACATTATAATTAACCCATATCACAGAAATCGACTATTGAAACTGTTATCTGAAATCCAAAAAGGGCCTCAAAAATTAGAATCAAGGAGCAGAACCCTAACCCAAATGATGTCATAATAATCAACCAGTTTACTACATTATGCCCTGCTCGTCATTGTGCATCTGTGACTTCAAGCCTGCGGTGGTCCAAACACTCCTTCTTGGAATAAAAGAAATCAGTCTAAAAGTCTGACAGGTGGCTGGAATAGTGTGTGTTTCCCAGCGGCATTAGTTATGGCAGGAGGCCATTTGGACGACGGGACCAGTCTGTTGGTCCACGAGCTAGGACCAGGGCGAATGACATGATGGGTTCACAGCAGACTGCACCGCCATATTAGATGTATATGGTGAAATCATATGGTTACATTGTTGTCTTGGCGACTGGTGTTGTAAACATTAGTAAGGAGGCGTTGGTACTGAAAGAGCACAGAGGGAACAATGGTTCAAAAAGTGCATTCACAAACCACTTCTGCAAACCATGGAGTATAAATGTAGACACAGCATACACACAACAGGTACACAGGAGTGTGTCGCAATAGTCACACTAAAATCATCTGTTCTACCGCATCACTATGGAAGAGCAGAGAAGGGAACAAGATTACCGTAATTTACGGAATATTGCACGCACCTAAATATAAGCGATGCCATAATTGTACATATATAGGCCACACTTCTGTATAAGCCGCAGGTTTGTAACCTGGGATATTTACACAGAATGATGATATATAAATAGTATAATATAAAGATATTTGTAAGATAAATAAATATTAATTTATATAAACATAAATAATTATAAAACACACCATGGAGTATAAATGTAGACACAGCATACACACAACCAAACGACAGCATCTGATGTTATGATTTCAATCGTTCAATTTGAGCATTGATACGTGGTCGCATCTTCATTCTCAGCTAAGAAAATATTTTGAGAACACTGTAACTTCATCTGGAGTTAAGATTTTCCCAGGCAAGCTATTTTGAGTTTAAATCAAAATATCTTTCATTATTTGTGGGAGTGCTGCGTTCTGCAGAAGTGTGGAACTGCTATTTTTTGTCCAAGGGTTTAATTGACATCTGTTGTTTGTTTTAATTTCTGACTCCCTTTTATTTTTACCCCTGACCTAACTTTAATTTGTTTTTATGGATACAACTGAAGAAATCCTTCTTCGTCACAAGTACAAATATTTTATTTTATTTTTACATCTTAAATATATAAAAATATATAAGAATACTTTACAGTTAACATCTAGGTGAAACATCAAGGGTATAAGATTTGTTTTTTTATTTTATGACAATTTTGTTTAAAATAAGTTTTACAATGAATACAGTATTGAGGACATTAGTTATTTACACAACATTGACTTGACTTTGAAACTGAAATGACAATAAATATTAATCTATAACAAAATAAGGTAGAATAAGGTAAATTCAAGAAGGAGGGAAATTAATTGTCTTCAAGACACAAGGATTCTAGAAGAAAATGATACCCTAGCCTAGCCTGGAATAAAATAGAATAGAATAGAAAAAAAACAGACAGCTGTTGTCATTGCAAAACACAGCTGAGACAAGTATTGAAGGCTGAATTTTGAAGACAAGAAAAAATACAAATATTTAACATCTAGTGCAACAATCAGGATGAGTTAATTGTGATTATGTTAATAAATCAAAAGTTTGAGAGGCATTGATATAATAATGAGGAGATATTAGAATGCATTTTTATATTACAAGACTTGCTCCAAACAAAAAAAAACAGTAAGTTAACAAGCGTATCCTTGGACAAAACATAACAGCAAGTTGTGACCTGGTGAGAAAGGCATCCCTAGAATTCTGCACAAAAGGAATACTCTGATGGAAACAGGATTTATGGAAACTTTTTTTTTTCTTTTTGAAAAATAAAGACATTTTGTCTAAAAAAATATACTACCTAGCCCAGGGGTGTCAAACTTAATTTGGTTCAGGGGCTACATAAAGACTAATTAGATGTCAGGTGGGCAGGACCTAAACAATAATATCATAATTATCTATAAATATTAATAAATCCAAGTGCAAATAAGTACAAGTATTTTGAGAATACTCATTTTTAATAAAATATAATTTGACAAAACATCACCAACATGATTGTTTGTGCATTTTTTCACTTTCAAAATTCACCAAGTGGCTGGATTGAACCCCCTAGCGGACCAGTTTTGGCACATGGGCCGTATGTTTGACACCCCAACCTAGCCTATCACCATCCAAAGGAATATAACGCCTGAAGATGAGGTGGAGCAATACATTTGTTATTGTAATCAGTGTTTTCTTAGTTTAGAGTAAAATGTTTGAAGGTGATGCAAAAAGGATGCAAAGAATACAGAGACCTTGCCAATTTACAAAGATTACAAGAGACATTACAAAGTGTACACTGTGCACTTCTGCTTTCATAAGAAAAGGTAATGTGTTTTTTTAACTTTGAATTGTAATTAATCACACAATTGTACACGATGACATAAACAAACACCAACAGGTGAAAACCAAGCGCAGCTGAAATACATAATAAACGGGAAAGCCGTGAGCAAAAATAAGATAATAAGAGCGGATAAAGAGAAGATCACATCTTCTGCATGGTGTGGAAGTCGAATAATGAAAAACACTTGACCTTCAGTCTGACTGATGCCTTTGAGCCCATCATGACATCCTCGTCCAGCGGCATCATACATGGAGGAGAAATTGGTGAACTCTGGAGAAATGACAGTTGAGCCATTTTTAACCACAGCAGATAAAGTACAGTACATGAGAAATCTGACCGAACCTGTTGTGTATAACACACAACAGGTTCACATATGCCAGATAGATATACAGACCTTTGCAGAATCCTATTCTTTTGTCTGCAGTTAACAACAAAAAGAACAAACAAATCCTCAGGCTGAATCGTACAAACATCCTCTGACCTGCCTTTGGAGATATTTGGTATTTTTATTGCCCTTTACCCCTGTGTACATGCCCTCACAGTTGCTCCAACTCCTACTCACTTTCTTTATTCCTGTTTTTATCTAAAACACAACACCACATCCAGACTGTGGCTGAAACATTTATGGTACACTGAGACATTCACCCTTTCTTCACCCGTCATTAAGTAATATGATTTGCCATTCCACCTGTTTTTATCTTCACACACTCTTCAGGGGGATAACAAACAGTGTGTTGTTTGTTGTTCGGTTTCCGACTGTGAATTAGAATGAAATTCAGGTTACAGCTGAGTTGTCCTAATTTAGTGGCCAATCAAGCCACAGGTTTAAAGAATAAGGAAAACAAACTGTAATCAGGATATGATGATAAATGTGTTGTTTTTTTGTTTTTCTCAGCCTTAACCTCCCTCTGAGATGATGCTGTAATTGTGAACAATGTAAACATAAGACAATGCAAATTAAATCAGGCTCCTATTGATGAACTACGGTCTCCTAATGAAGAGATGGGGGAGGAGAAGGGGCTGGTCATAAGAAAAACAGATCACTGAGAATCATGATAAATAGAAATAAAAAGATTACCATTAAGTCAAGTATAAGAAACATTTAAAAAAATGATTTCAGGGTCAGTGTTAGGTTTATTCTAACATGTGACAACAAAGTAACAACACAAAGACATCTGGATCTTTTTCTTGCAGGGGGAGAATGCAGCTTGCTCTTCTGGCAGCTTTCTCATCAACTCCGAGTTGCTGCACCCTTCCTCTGCTCTTTTATTTAGTTTACAAAAGTATCAGATTACATATCATGTGATCGTGTGTGAGTATATGAATGGGTATGGAGTAAGAAGGTGGGTGTGAATGTGGGTGTGGCTGTGTCTGGTAATTTCTCCATCAGTTTTGAGCACACTAGATTATAATATGAGAAGCAAATAGTTTCTTAAAGCGACAGTACAGCATGAAGCAATGATAATAAATTAAATTATTCCAACATTTCCCTCCTGTTTATCATTGATGAATGCCAAAATCTCTTATCCTGCATTATGGCTCCTTAGGCTAGGTGTTTCATAACACATTCACTTTCATAGCACACATAGTCTCTTTTGCCTTTATGAGGAGTAAATGCTCCTGTTTTGGTTTTATTAGAAATTGGTGGGAAGATTGAGTTACAGGTGTCAACTGTAAGGCAGCACTAGGACGACTCCTGTGACTATCAATACACACACAGAGAGTCGCATTGGAACTCCTAATCTACGGAATGGCTGCCATTGTTTTGCCATGGTTACCAGCACTTCACTCTCTTTGTCAATCATCTTATGTCTGCAGGACTATGGTTAGCCCAATACAGTAATCACACTAAATGGCTGAGGATCTCCCTGCGTCACCAACGTTGAGACGTATAGCTTCTGTAATAGCTACACCCCTTTGTAGTCGGACTTCCCCTCAACCAATTGGATCCTGTACCAAGAACCTCTGTCTCTTGCAATGCTAAAGATGAATCCAAGATGGTCGTTCAGCAATCTTTATGGCTGTAGGACCTGTTATGGGCCTTCCCACTTTGGACTCGACCAACATTTCCTTTTGATGACCTTTATTAGCACCCAGTCGCCGACCTAGATTGGCATACTGTCACTCTACAAAGATATAGCTGTATCTGGCACAGAATTACAATTTTGTATTTCTGTTTTTAGCACAGTGGTGTTTTAAATTTATTTTCATCTTTTGGCTTATGCTTGATATGACTTGGTTCATGTAATAATTTCTATTGTCACAAATCTTGGTATAATCTCTTTGACCAATGCTTTTGCCACTGTAATAGCATCAGC